AAGGCAGGTCCAAATAAACTGGGCTTTCTATTTCTATCCATTTTTAGTAGCTGAGACAAGGAGGAGTGGAAGGTCCCTTTGTAGGAAACGAATACATACAACCTGAAAGATATATATACCCACTCCATCTCTCTTGTTCTGTTTCACCAGGTAGTGCAGAATTTAAGGTCCCTCTAGTTGATGCCCTGGTTGTGGCTCTGTTGACAAGTGCCATATCTTCAGGGAAAAGGATCCTTTCTCTACAGGACCCAGGAGGGCCTGCTCAAATCTACCACCAGATTTATCATCCTACCGAGACCAACAGATGAAGGCACTGGCTTCTGTGATGTCCTAACACACAGGGTTGTAGAGTGACTTTTTCTTGGCCTGACACCTTAGGTGTTTGAGTCCTATGCACTGTGTGAGAGGAATGTAGCATAGATGTTGATAGTTCCTCTCGAGACAGATTTGGATCTGCCCAGTGTCTAAAATGCCTTCCAAAAGATGCACCAGAGATTCTCCACTGCAAGAGAAACAGGATATTGTAATCATTGCATTGCTGGACTTGGAACTTGGAGACCCAGTTCAGTGACTGCTCAAGTCATGAAGTTTACCACATGACCAAGCTCTACCTCTCACCCAAACCTACCTCACTGAGTTGATGTGGGATAAATGAGGAGAGAGGAACCGTGTAAAACAGCCATGTTCTTGGCAAGTAAAGTATCAATAAATAATACTAATAAAATGACACTGTAAGCACAGGGCTGTTCCATTTGGAGTGAGAGTGGTCTCTGCACTGAGAGTATTTATGAAGATAATTATTGTCCTTAACTCCATTTCAAGGCTTTAGTTATTACCTCTGTTTAGACATACTGTGGCTACCTCAGTACCAGCCTGTTACATCTCCAGGATGATAGTTCTAGTCATCTTCCAAAAGAGCCACTTTGTTTTCTTGATGTCTGTACTCCAAATAGGGACTCCTACAGACACAGATGGCAGCTGGATCTCACTGGAATCAGATCACATAGCCAAGATTTGGCAGATTGTCTTTTGACTAATGTTGCAGAAACCAGTGAAGTGCATGTTCCTAACTCATCTTCTCATCCTCGTAATGTTGTGCATACAAGATATGCCACAGGCAACAGCACAATACAAGTCACCCGAGGGGGTATGACTCTTATTCCTATTCCCATTCCCATTCCAAGTCACGGTCGTCCATTAGCACAAATGGATTAATCTGTCACTGAAGGTGAGATGGTCCTTTTACTGGTGGCTCTTGGAGAGCAACTTATTCCTCTCTGCCACAACTTGCCCCAAATAGTAGTCCTTAAAAATGCCAGTCTGTCAGTTTGGCCAGGGCACGGAACATCATGGAACTGAAGCATATCCTAACTGGATGGAGTTTCAAGCACTTATATCTTTACAGTGGTGCCTCGCATAGTGATCGCTCCGTTTAGCGATCAAATCGCTTTGTGACGCATTTTTTGTGATCGCAAAAGCGCTCGCTGTGCGATGTTCCCTATGGGGGAAATTCACTTTGCGATGACCGATCATCGCGAAGCGACCATTTTCGGACAGCTGATCAGCGTTTTCAAAATGGCCGCCGGGAAAAAAACATGGCTGCCCGCTGTTTTCTGGGACGGATTCCTCGCTTAAGAGACACCAGAAATGGCCACACTATGGAGGATCTTTGCTGAACGGTGAGTTTTAAGCCCATAGGAACGCATTAATCACGTTTTAATGGGCTTTTTTATTTCTCATTGTGACGTTTTCGTTCTGCAGCAATTTTTGCGGAACGAATTAATGTTGCAATGCGAGGCACCACCGTACTTCCCTTCTTCCAGTCTCTCTGGCCAGGGCATCCACATGTTCATGGTTGTATCCTAACTCACACTTCTAAGCAAAGGGTCAAAGGTTTTTAGTGTGAGGCAGCCTCCCTCCTCTAAGCAAAGAAATCTTTCTTCTCCCTCCTAACATTGTGTGTCCTGTGTGATCTACTATGGGATAGCAGCTCAGCCTTGGAAGCTGTACCTTGCATCCCACTCCCCCAGATGCTTATTCAGAATCTGCGAGAGCAAAACCCAAAGGAAGCTGGATAGTTCCACCCTGCCTGATCTTCTAATTGATAATGAAAATTCCTTCTGGGTTGCTGAGAAGGAGTCATGATGATAGTCTGGCGAGACTCTATGAGAGGCATAGGGGCTAACGCTACTCTTACCTGCTTCCTGAGTCTCTGCTGAACTTTGAATGGAAGCTTGGCAAAGTAGGGAGCTGAAGAGCCGCCCTTTTCTCCTCATTGCTGGTTACACAACCTTGCCTTTCCTGGGCAGAGAGCAGGACGCCACCCACTCTTCTGGATGCCTCCTTTGCACCACTGCAGAACGGGCCTTCAAGGCAAGTTATTTTGTCCCATCTTCCGGGTCTGCTCTCTGCTCCAGATGTTCATTTAAATGGTTCTTTGGCCAAAGAACTTTCTGTGTGCCCACTCTGGTTAAGCTCCCATAACTTAATTCATGACCGTTCTCTCTGATGAGGTTACCTTACGGTAGAGCTTTTTCTCCGAGCCCAGGAAGATCATTCTACGAACTTCACAATGACAAAACTGCTGCCCTGTTCACTGCTTGGGAACAGCCCTTTCTTCATTATGGTAGCTGTGCATCACAGATATGGGTTAGTGTGCATGTGTGCAATGTGGCTTGGAATCTTCTAGAGCTACAGTGGGAGCCCTGGGCTGGAGCCCTGCCGATTCACTAGCAGGAGAAAATACATTGGGGCTCCCATGTTTTCTTTAGTCCCTTTTCACCCACAGCTCGGTTTGCAGCACCTTTGGAACCCTTTAGCTATTATTCTTCTTCTGGCTTTCGACATTGCACCTTCTACAACCATTCTTCCTTCTTCTCCTTTGGCATTTGGCTCTTCAGACATGATCTACCATTTTTTTTCCATCAGCCTTGGTCACTGTGTTTCTTCCTGACTGTGCTTCACCTCACCCTTTGGCCACTTACGTTACCAACCATGGCTTCTAGAGTCTTTTGTTAAGAAATGCATTCAGAGCAGCAACAGATGGCCACTGGAAGCATCTTTTCTGCATTGGAGAGGGTCACATTGTAGAGAAGTGCCACCATTGTCGGAACCTCTTGGAAATAGCTCTTTGAAACTGCTGGTATTGCCTTTGGGCTTCCTCTTGGGAGAAAACTTTTAAAGGCTTGGGACCCTGCGAACAGAACTAGGCATCTCCACCTCCCTTGATATGCTCTCCATTCCCTCCTTCAGTTGATCCACTTTACACTGCATCATTGGTGTCGAAGCTGCTCTCCACATTGACCACTTAGGGTGGATAAAAATCATTGATTTTTAAAAATCAAATTGTTTTAAATCATGATTTAAATTTTAAAAATCTATTTTTATTTGAATCATCCAAAATAATAATAATAATAAATCCAATAGTTTTGATTGAAATCTTCCTCAAATTCCCAATCTTCTCACTCAAGTGCCTCCATTGCCCAGATCTATATACCATCTGCCTAACACTGTAGTACATCATATGCTTCAAACTCATTTCTATTAGAAGTAACATACATAGTACAGGTCATCCACAAGCCCTTGACATGGCATTCCTACTGTGTCAAGTAACAAAGTTTCCAGTTTTTTGATGGAATGTTCCATTTCCCTCCAGGCAATAGATACACACATTACCCTTATAATTCTCACCCAGCTAGGCTGTCAAATCTTCTTCCTGGTGTCTCTCAAGGTCTACCTTTCTACTATCTTGTTCCTCCTCCCTCAGCTTCTGGAGACTCCTGATTCCCTACGCCACAGTTTAAAACTTGCCTCGAGAGCTTTTGTCATCTCTGCCCTCCCATGCCTCAATTCCCACTTGAATGGAAATTACACCTTGTCCTTTCCTCAGTGCAGGCTACTTGAACCTATGGCAACCTGTGACTTTCACTTGCTGTACATTAAGATGGCTTTCCTTGGGACAATCACCTCAGTCCACTTGACCAGAGAATTCTCAGTCTTACATTGTGACCTTCCATCCTTGCAATTTCACCTTTTGACTAGATGTCACTTTCCTATGCAAGGTTGTCTCCCACTTTCACTTGGAACATGATATAGTCCTCTTTGCCTTCTTCCCCTCTCCATTGTCTCCAAAGGAAGTTGTCTTCCACTCCCTTAATGTTCAGAGAACACTCACCTTCTGGTTGCACAGAAGTCATTCCTTTTGGTCACTACACATCTCTTCATTGCCTAAAGTGGGCCCATGTCCATGCAAAAGGTTTTCCAAGTGGGTTGTGGCTATTATTCATTTATTTTTATTTATTTATTTATTTAGGCCCATGTCCATGCAAAAGGTTTTCGAAGTGGGTTGTGGCTATTATTCATTTAGCATATTACCTCACTGCCATGTCTCCTCCTTCCAGAGTTTGCACTCACTCTACCAGGGCTGTTACCTTGTCTACTGCTTGGATGCAGGACGTCCCTCTTGAAATGGTTGTGAATGGCTGAATGGCTGTGTGATCTAACTTAGTGACATGCATCCAGCAGTAGCTCATCACAATGACATCTTTGGAAGTATAGACCTGTCTTACGTTCTCCAGTGGCATCTACCTGCAGGTAAATCAGCTTTACAGTCACTCATATGTGTGATGCTCAGAGATCGTGAAGAAAAAGAACAGGTTGCGTACTTTAAGAATTACAGTTACAAGTAAGCACTCAAGCAACATTCCCTCCATCCCTCTTTCATATCACGAGAACTATTCTATACACTAGTTCTGCTCCCTTTCAGCAGACTTCTGGAAATGAGGGAAAGGGAGGGACTCCAACATACAGTACTTATTTCCGTTAGTGAGTGTGTGGGGCTTCCACCAAAATGCTCCAGCTGTAACTCTAGATTTCAGGACATGTTGTGCATGCACAGAACTAGCATATGTGTGTGAATATATAGCTGAAGACCCACAGTTACAGGTAAGCAACATGTTCTTTGTGAAACTTTCTTTGATTTATTTGTTTCTCTTGTGCAGAAATTCAAAGAATATCTCTCTGGACGAAGCATTCAAACAAAACTGCAAGCGAAGCATGACCAGATGAAGGAGGCGATAGAAAAGGGTGAGAAAGTGACAGAATAGATGCACCAGCAGTTTAATTATGTGGTTTGACTAGATGCGGAGTGAGAATTGAAGAAGATAAGAAGCAAGATAAAACCAAGTATTAACTGCCATACTTCCTCTCACAAATTCCTAGGAGTTGTAATTTGTTGAGATATTACTTTTAGAAGCCCTTATCTTCACCAATTTCTTCACAGAACAACTAATGCTGGGGAAAAGTAATGGTGGTTATGCCAGTTTAAAGGCAAATACAGATACCCCTTTCAACAGGTGCATCTGATAGCTTTATTTGCTGAGGAATAAGGACGGTTTTCGTCCCCTCCCTCCATGTAAATACACGTACACCTTTTTGATTTGATGACATTAATTCAGCACTTCTTAAAAGGCTTTTTAAAATGCTATGACTAGAATGCAGTTGCTTTTTACCACAGGTGGAAGGGAAATCATGGAAACTGCCACAGCTAATTCATGAAGCCTCATTCACAAGTCATACACTTAGTTGCAGGCCTGGCACCTTTTCAATGAGCTGTGATGGGTTTCACAGTGTACCTTCCATGTGTGGTAAAAGTCAACTGGATACCAGGCTTTAGAAACTGTTCTGAAAAGTGGGAAATGGGCTTTGTCACTGAACTCGTGACTATATTTCTGAGAAAGCCCAGGCCAAATTTCCCCATGTTCAAGACACGCTTAGTGCTGAAGCTACATACATTTGTTTCCATTCTAAATGTCTAGAGTAGATCTATGAGAGACACAGCTCTCTATATGTTAACCTCTTCAATGTTTCTTGCTTCTCTAGGTGCTGCTGTGGATCGAGAACTAGCCAGGTAAAAGGGACATTGCGGACAGACGATTCTCAAGGCAGGGGGAGATGGGAACTCTGCATATTGTCCTCCCACCCCCACCCCACCCCCCGTGCGCAAGTGGGCAGTCAAGGCTTCCTCCGTCCTATTCTGTGGTTGAGGAACCAAGCAGAAGTATGGGAAGGAGTCCAGTTCCAGTTTCTGGGGGAAGTCTCTGACCTCTTCCTTCCTCCCTCCCTCCCCACACTACACAAACGTTGGTTCCAGGCCACAGTCCCAGCGCATCCGGCGTTCCCGCCCTCCCTCGTGCTACCATCACAAGCTCTTCGAGGGTGACCTACAGGCCTTTGTGGAGGTACTGGCTGCTGCCCTGAGCTATGCCCCCCTCCTGCCCAGCTCCTTCTCGCCCTGCTTTCTTGCCCTCTGCCTAGTACAAGAACTCTCTCTCTCTGTCTCTCTCTAACTCTCTCTGCTTCCCTGGCCCTGCTTTTGCCTCTTCCCAATTGCACCCACTGCTCCCTCCGCTTGTAACATGTGCTTGCTGACTCTGTCTTTCCTGTCCGTGCTGCCCCAAGGAGGCGGAGGCTGCAGGCACGGAAGC